GGGTATCGATAGTGGAGCAGCTGCCTGGAAGAGCATCCGGTGGTTTCAAGGCTGAAAATGAAGCCTGCAGGGCAGAGGAGGATGAAAACCTAGACAGCTCTGCTGGGAGAAATGGTTTAAAAGGTCACGCAAAGTGAGGGAAGGCAACAACCAGCAGCTCTCTGGAACCAGCAAGATACCTCTGCCTGCTCCGAGGTATTACTCAAGTGAGCAGCAGTGAACGCTGCTCCTGCTCCGTCTGCATGCTGCTTACAGCCCACAGGGTCAGCTGAGGGGACAGTGTCCCTGCCCTGCCCTGCAGGCCCTGCGGGGCCTGGAGCAGGAGACACAAATCCCGCCCAGCCGGGGTGAGCAGCAACAGCTCTCTCTAGTGAAGATGCCTTCAACAGTACATGAATCCGCTCAATCTTGAGAGCTAAGTATCAAAATGCCCCGATTCCATGGCACAGAACCGGCTTCGGAGACAGGGACCTGACCACCAGGGCCCGGCCAGCACAGAAAGCCTTCACCTCAAATACGGCACCGCTCTGGCTTCTGAAAGGCCACTGCCGAAAAGTCAAAGAAAACGGAAACAAACAAAACTCACTCTGCCACTAAATGAACAATCTCTAAGAGAAAACATTTACAACACATATCGTTGGAGTCCTAGATGTATCGATTTTTGTAAAGTTCAAAACACCGGTCTCTGGTGACAGAGCTCTGCTCGGCACTGGGGGACCCCAACACGCTAGGGACCCCACGCACTCATGAAGGAAAGTCCTGCATCCCGCGAAGCTTCCACAACTTTCCTCTGGACAATGTTTTAAAAATCTAAGGACATAGTGCAGTCAAATAATGTATAAACTGTATTATTCTTCTGCAAAAATAAAAGAAATGCTGTTCAAATTATGAGAAAAATTTACAACGAGTTGAAATGTTAAATATGTCAATACAGGCTTTAAAGAGATATTTATTTTTTAGTGCTCAGTCCCTCATTTTCAAATACAGGTAAAATAACAATGATGACCTTTGAGTCTGGTGAAAATCTTAAAACATCCGCATTTGCATCAGTTAATAAATTCCTAATTATCTCCCAAATATCCACACAAATGAGCGGAGGATTCGCAGCAGCTCTAGACCCCATAAGACCTCTTGTTAGCTTTGATGTTATTTGTCTGGTAGTGAATCTGTCCAGATGGAAATTTATTGCTACAGATACCAGGGGATTTTTTTGTTTGCTTTGTTTTTCCATTTTTTGAGAGTCTGGCTATGTAGCCCAGGCTGGCCTTGAACTCAAGGTGATCTTCCTGCCTCGGCCTCCTTAGTGCTGGGATCACAGACGTGCACCACCATGTCCAGCCCAGACACTAGTTTTTAAAGTATTACTATTTTATTCCTTGGAACTGGTCTTTATTGAACTAACAAAGCCAAATATCTGGTGAAAAACAAAGATGTGCTCAGCACCCTAAACTGATTTAAGCAACTACATCCTTTCTGAGAGAGGCAAATGCTGCCCCATGAGGCTCAGGCTGCAGTGGGTCCAGCGGCCCACAGGTCCCAGGAGCAGGGCGCCCAGGGCATCTCGTGCTCACATGGTTCTGTCCAGCGCTGGACCAGATGCCCCTCACAACCGACGGCCCTCAGTCACCCAGACCTTTCTCGCCTCTCTCGGGGCGCCACGCAGAGCTGCAGATGTATGGCCACATATTCTCATTACCTGGTTGCCTGCCCACCTGCTTGTCCAGTGCTTACAGTGGCTTTAAAGTGGTGCAGCAGGGTCTCCTCAGTCCCCTGCTCTAGACAGACCCACAGGGCTCACCCACCACGCCCCTGCAGGTCTACCTTCCAGGGCAGACAGGAGCGCATGCCTAGGTTGGTCGTGAACAGGTTCACACCAAGCTGGGGCTGTAGCTCCTGGTGAAGCACTCTGCTGCCAGGAGCAAGGCCCTGGGATCAATGGCCAGCACTTCAGAAAGAAAAGAAAACCCGAAGTCGACTCACATCTGCCAGGGACAGAAAGCAACAGGCCCCTGAGCTTCAGTTGAGTCTTCCAGGGGCCCTGCCTCCCCTCTTCATCCACGGGGACGAACCCAGAGGCAAACCTGTTGCCAGAGACTCTCAGTTCCCAGGCTCACACCTAACGCAGACGCAGGTGGCAGAGCGATCACAGGAGAGGTTTCCTGCCTGCTGCAGGGGACGGGCGTGGCGCTGGGCCCTGCTGCAGTGATGGCCAAGCCTTTCCGAGAGGCTGCCAATGACCACACCTATGTGTGAACTCTCTGAACAAGGGTGTGGGGGTTTTTTAGAGAATGCCCACATTTTCAGCTATCATAAAACTGAAGTAAAAACTTATGTAACTGTGGCATATGTTTCCACGATAAATTAATAGTAAATCAAGATACTAACAGCCTAACAGAAAATAGAGTTCCCTTGATATTTGCATTTTTAACATAATAGCAATAAATATATCTTAATCTGAGTGCCTCCATTAAAGTTTCCGATTTAGCCTAAGGTTTTGAATTCTGCGTATTTCATCGTTGGTGTTAGGTTGGTGAGGATGACCAGGACGTGGCGTTTTGGTCCGTGTGTACACGTGTGGCTCCCAGGGCCTCTCCTGCCGGCGTCCTGCTCTAGCTCCATCCTCTCCCAGTCTGTACCTTCTGAACAACCGTCTCTGGGCAGGCTTGTGGAGAGAAGGCGCATGAAGAGTTGGATTCCCACGCCGAGCAGGTGCCGTTCGCTCTGCACAGCCCAGTGTGTGCATGCGCGCGCGTGTGCTCTCCAGGTCCTGGCCCTGACGACTGAAGCCACGGGAATCCACGGTGCTTTTCCTCAGGACTGGACCAAGAGCCCGGAAGGAAATGAGTCCATGCCTGGGACCCTCAGGGAGCCCTGTGCGTCTGCAGGACAGGGGTCTGGATCAGGACGGGGCAGCAGAGACCACCCAGGGTGCCGCGCCTCCCGTGAGGCAGCTGAGGTCCCCCGGGAGCAGCCTGCAGCCGTCAGCAGCACAGGGATGCAGCCCTGCACAGCGGGCAGCAGCTCCCGTCATGGTCATGACGCACTGGGAAACCTGACGCTCACAGCCCGTGTCACGCATTTATTTAGTTAAATCCTCAGGCACACCTAACGGACCCTGGGGTTATAAACTGGGAGTGTGCGATCTACCATTTCACTCTACTTAGAATTTGTAGAATTCATTCTTGGCAACCTTTTCCTATCCAAATAATAGTTTGCACTACTTATTTTACAGGTTCAATTTTATTTTTAGATGCCAAATTGCTTCATTGTACCATATAATTAAAATGGTCAAAAATGCTACTTTCTACTACCTTCTCGTTTTATTTTAAACATTGCAGTCTCATACATGAGGAGAGTATTTTCAGATTGTTGTAGTTAATAAGTCATTTTACACAAATTGTAACTAAGAAAAGACTAAAACAGAAACCAAACCAAACACAACACAAACCTCTTCCACAGTAAAGGAATTTAAGCATCGAAGCACAGGTTACCTCCAGAGCTGGCGTCTCCTGGGTTTCGTTTCAGGTGGAATTTGTGTTGGCAGGAAACCATTGGCTTATACCCGGGATGGCCAGGCGGGCTGCACTCTGGATGCACACTTTCAGGATTGCTAATAAGAAGCCAGGCACCTCGGCCCCGCTCTGTGTCAATACACATGCTATGCAGAACCAGGGTGCTCTCAAGCTCCCTCCGTGATGGTCGACATTTATGAAGGAGGAAGGAGACCACACCAGCTCACTGGTGTGAGCAAGGGGACCTGCCCCTGTCGATGCCCGATGTGCCTGGCCCTGGGAGCCCAGGAGCAGGGAGGGAGCCGCCCTCTTGGCCTCGTCATTGGGTCTGCAGAAAGCCAGCTCCAGGGCAGCTCTCAGGAAGGCAGACCCACACCCCTGGATGCTGCCCTAAGGCCCCTTGGAGGCTTGTCCAGTGCTGCCTGGGGTCTGCCTTGAGTTCACATTCCACGCAGGATCTGACCCACTCAGCCTCCAGGGGCCAGTTCAGGCCTCCTGGCTCCTGGGTCCTGCACTCACCCCTCCGAGTCTAGGCTGCCACAGATCCCCATGTCACCGAGTTAAGAACACTCGGAGCAAATGAAAAAAGTACACCATCTTCTGAAAGAAAAAGCAAGTGGCCTTCTTAGAAAAATTTCACCTTCCCTATTAAGACAGGCTGTGTGGGTTTATCATTATGTTTACGTCAATTAGGCAGAAATTTGGGGGTGAAATGCATATGATACAAGCTAAGTATTTGATGGTGTCCTTATGGGTAAAGACACAGCAAGCAGGACAAGAAGCGATCACCACCTCAGAGCAGCGCTAGGAAACAAATGCCCCACACGGAAGGCAGGACAGAAGCCAGCACAAGCCCCTCTTGTGAGTCCCACTGACTTTCCAAAGCTAGTATGCCTCACCATAAACACAAGTCTCAGAACAGGGCCCGTGACCACTGCGTGCCTCCAACCTTAATCAAAATTAGAATTCTTTACTTGAAAACTTGGTTTCTATGCACACGACAGATAATCAGGCCTGGAGTGTTGAAACTGCTAAGGAATCCTAATTAAATGAGCAAAGAGAAATCAAATATAAAATTTCACCTCAAAGGAGGAGAATTTAAAGCAGTGGTGGTGAAGTGCAGCAGGCTGTTTGCTATTACTGAAAGCTCTAAGCGGTTCAGCATTGGTCATTTAAACTAAAATAAGGAAAGAGTTTTCTAGCAGTGCATTACTTTAACTATTACAATGATCAAGAAAAATCATTTTGGATCTTAACTGGACGGCACACGTTTCGGTTCCTGATGACACGCGAGTGAGGACCGGAATGGATCTGGTGGACGTCCTTCCCTGGATTCAGGCCCTAGCACTGAGCAGCCCCACCCAAGTGTCGGCAGGGTTCACGCACATTCGCGTTCCCCTCACCTGCTGCCCAGTCAGCATGTCACAGGCTTAGAGAGAGGGCAGGTAAGAACAGGACAGAGGTCCGGGTGTGGCACATAGGTCTTACCCTGGCAGATGGGGCTGAGGGAGTCCCACTGGTACATGCCCACGGGGTTCCGGATGCAGGTGGCATTGCTGCGGCCCACCATGCGGTACCCCGGCTTGCAGAAGTAGTGCACTGTGCTGCCGAGGGCCCCCGCCGTCCTGTTGAAAACACCGCCGTTCTTCAGTGTGGAGGTCAGGCTGCAGTACGGGGCTGAGGGCACACAAACACACACATGCGAGTCACAAAGAAAGGCAGGGCCACTGGCCTTGGGGAGAGTGACACAAATGAAATCTGCAGTTCTTAAAAAGTAGGAAATGAGCACGGCATGGGCATGGTGATGCACCTGTAATCCCTGCACTCTGGGGGCTGAGGCAGGAACATGGCAAGTTGCATCCCTGCCTGCTCAACCTGGTGACTTAATGAGACCCTGCCTCAAACATAACAAACATAATGTAAAGGGTTGGAGAGGCGGCTCAGGGAAAAAGCCCCATGTTCAATCTCCAGTAAAAAGAGAAATCAGCATCAATATGTAAACTTATTCTACAAAGCATCCCGAAGAGCGCAGAGTCCCCTCTCTTCCTCTGAAGTGCAGGTGGCTGCAGCTGGCTTCACCAAGAAGGCAGGGTCCTGACTTCAGCATCTAGGGCTTGACACCATCTCCCTAGCTCTCCTGCCAGGCTGTCACTTAAGCAATCTCCTCGGTCACCTGGGAAGGTGCTCCGGGTTGCTCAGTGCACCAGTTTGAAACAAAACTCCTTGCTGTATTAAAAAGTATTATTGGGGCCAGGAATTTAGCTCAGTGGTTCTGCCGCCTGCCTTGCAAGCACAAGGTCCCAAGTTTGATCCCTGGTACCAAAAAAACAAAACAAAACCCCAAAGTACTATTAAAATGAAGAAGAAAGAATATAGTGCTTTTGCAAGCAAGGCCAGTAACTTTCTCCACATTGCTAAGCAGGCCTCAGGAACGGCACATAATGGAGACGCTCAGCTCTCTTAATATGTGGTGTCTGGCGACATCTCTGAGGAAACGTACTGCTTTGGAGCAGGAAAGATCTTTCTGTAACACTACCCTCCCCTGTGGGGGGAGGCTTTTTAAAGCTGCAGACAGGCACTCGTTAAAATAGCCATCTTCCCCACCCAGCGTAATACTCCGATAGCGTCTCACACATTTAGAGAGGGGACCTTACTTGGGCTTACAGGGCTGGTGTGTTAAACCCTGTGAACACCCTGAATCAAGGAATACACAGGACAAATTTATGGACTGGAGACTCACTGCTCCGGAACAGGAGGCTCAGCGCCTTTGTCCTTTGCTCAGAGTGCACCCTGCTGCTCTGCTGAGCCCCTCTGCTGTTCCCTACAGCAAGTCTGGGGTGCTGGCTGAGAGTCTCCTGCCTCAGCCCAGCCCAGGAGTGAGTCTTGGCAGCTGGGCTCCGATGCGCTCCAGGAGCGGTGCCTTCCTGGAAGACACTCGTGGGGGCCTCCAGGCTCCAACCTGCCTGGCATGGGGATCTTTTGCTTCCTTGCTCTGCTGCTGGTCCACTTTCTAGTCACGGTCATTGCAGACCAAGCTCTTATAAGCTCCGAATGGGCCGAAGTGTCCAGTTTAGGGAAAGCGTCTTCACCAGGCGCCTGACAACCACCTGTCTGGGATCAGTGTAGTGGAAAAAGAGAATGTCGGGCTGCAGGTGAGAAGCTGACATCCCAGACATGCGCAGAGCAGCAGGGAGAGCCCAAGGTCGGGGCGCTGCTCTTCTGGCCTGAGGTGCAGGCTGGGCAGCCTCCAGCTCTGATTCTGCCCGAAGACCTTGTGTCCCTGTTTTTCTCCATCATCGGCTCTCAGCATATGCCTTCTCCTTGTGCTCCTAGAACAGGCTGTGCAGGTCCAAGGGAGCGCAGGGGCCTGGCGCAGGAAGTGTAGGCCACTGGCCTGCAGCCCTGAGGGCGATGGAGCAGCCAGGAGCCTTGAGGAGAGGCATGCAGCCGGAGACCGAGGCCAGGGCTTCCGGGTGGACCTTCCCACAGTGTTGTGCACCCCCCCACCGCCCCGTGCTCTCTGCAGCACTGAAGAGTCAGTGAGGACCCTCATCCACGTGCCAAGCTGACTGAGTGGCCAGCAAGCACCTCAACACGGCAGCTGCTCAGCTGTTTGCTTCCTCGACGTCCAGTTATGATGACAGTTACATCATGCTTGTGCCCGAGTAATCAACAGCAAGCTCAGGTGGGGGGGGCCAGTGTGCGGTCACGTGACCCTGTGAGCAGGAGCTCAGCCTGAGAGTTCAAGGCCCTTTACTTAGTCACCGGTGGAAATGACTGTGTGACCTCGAACAGAGGTCAGGAGTCACTGAATTTTACATGAGAACTGTGCCTGAATTCATACATAACACATATAGTAAACATCTATCTCTATATCGCAAGGGCAAAACACACAATTCTGTAGCCACCATCTCTTGAGATAGCTGAAGGAGAATCTTCTTGTGTGATACATGAAGAGATCCTGTGGAAGGCAGGCCGCTGGGTAATTTGCCTCAGATAAACAAAGTAAGTTATGTTCACCCTGATTTCTGCTGCACTGGCCACTTTACACACTGGAGATAAATTTGGTTTGAAAAGTCTGGTTACCCATCAAAGTCTCAGAACAAGGTTTTCCATGGATGCTCAAATGCTCTGTGGGGTGCGGGTGGGCTGGGCCTTGGGGCTCCTTCCCAGGGAGGAGCCTGCATTCTCCCCACTGTCTGTGTATCTAGAGCCCTTCCCAGCCCTGCGGCTGCATTTGCTGCTCAAGGACTCCAGCCTGGGCAAGCTGGAGCCGCCTCAGCAGACCCAGAGCCATCCTGCTCCCAGCTGCTCCTCTCCCCAAAGCCCAGTGCCACAGAGGGAGTGGCCGATGTGCAGACACCATCCCCTTCACATGGGCAAGGCACCTGCCTCAGGACACAGCTGGAATCTGGGCACAGGGACCTTGGATGGGCACAGGCAGGGTTCTGTGTCGCAGATTTTTTGTTTAGTAATCAACATATCCTAAGGAACTGGAGGAGTCTCCCCATTACCTTGTAGGTGATGTAAAGACCAGGATGGGTCAGATTGCTCATAGGGTCTAACCTATCATAAACACACTGGTTGATTTAAATAGTTTGTTGAGTGACTAATGTCTTATGAAATATAAATAACTGTTCAAAGAGAATGATCAATACATACTGAAAAAGGGCAAAATAATTCACACTGTGATAAGGAAAGACATATATATGAACACTTGTCATGTATATATTCATATCACATACATGCACATACTACTTATGGTGTATATGCATGTGTCAAGAAATGCATATACTATTCACAGTCAGAGGTTTTCAGCATTGATCTTATTGACGGTAGTATAATAGCCTCCACTTGTTTGTTCCCATGATATTTAAGCCTACCTTAATATTAATTTTAGCTATATTTTATCTTTTGGGGCTGTCATTTGGTCCACAGTATTCGATGGTTCATCATTTAACAATAACTTCTAAAATATTAATAAGTGCATTCGTGCTGTCTGGAGACATTGGTGAGTGTACTTTCCCATCACACTGCTGCTCTTGTGTCTAGGAATCCACAGTTCGTGGCCGGATTTTGGTTGGAATCTCTACCTAAACACTTCTGTGCCTTTGCAGCCCCGCTGAGTGTTGGCCACGATGCCCACCTGCGTAGCGGATCTTGAATCCTTTCTTGCTGGTCGCGTGGTCGGTGGACCAACGGAGGAAGAGCTGACTGCCCCTGCTGGTGAAGTTGGACTGCTCCGTGTGGTTCCCGCTTAAGACCACGAGCAGAGGACTCTGCCCAGAAGACCCTGTAGGGAAGAAGGACACAGAGGTTCGGGTCTGAGTTAGCGCCGTTGGCCTTTGCTGAACCTGGGTTCCACACGGCCGAGGCACACCTACTGATCTCCAAAGAGGACAAAGGATTTCAAACGGAAACAGGAACAGACACATTCCTTGATAAAAATAAAACAACCTAGAAAAATTTGAGGCGCGTAGGGTATTAAGGACATAATACTTAAATAAACCATGCTATAAAACAGCTGGATTTAAACAATTAAGGGTGATTTCTATATCGTTAGTATTGACCATACTGTGAGGACACAGGACAATGGAAACTGCTTTGTGATACTAGCGGAGGTGTGAGAAATGACAGGCTCTTTGACAGTAACTTACCAATACCTAGTAAAATTAGAAATGTGATCATATCTCTTTAAACTCGAGTACCTGTGTAGACGTGTTCTTTATAAAGCAAGAACTACGTATCCCAGCATTATTTCTCCTGGTAAATCTTGGACACCAACTAATAGTTTGGAGTTATATGAAAATACTGGAAGTTAAATTACTACAGAATCTAAAATTAATATATATATATATGAAATGTATATTTCTCTCTCTGGATATATACGTATCAGCATATACCGATACATCTGTATCGGTAATTTTGGGAATGGTATACTGACATCTAATAAAATCTACTTGCAGGTAAATACTGCAATGGTATAAAAACTCACAAGCGTCCAGCATACTGCGTGTGTGTGGCTGGATGATGGTGGGTGGACAGACAGAGATGGGCAGGTCGATGGGAGGCGGAACAAGGAGTAATTAGGAAACTGGGCCCCATGAGCCCGGAGTACACCAGCAGCTGGACAGGGGCTGTGCCCGGTGGTTGCCACAAGGCCCTGTGATTCGCTGCTTCTTAAAAACAGGTGTAAATAAATTTGGAAAAAAACCCTAAAATCCATTATCTACAAACATTTTTTTAATTTTCCTATTTTTTTGAAATTTTTAAAAAAGTTTTAAGCAACAAGTTAATGCGAAGTGTGCAGTTAACAAAAGCGAGTGCAGCAGCGCGGTGTGGACTTGCGTCGCTGTGCGTGGTCCACGGCAGAAACTGCTGTGTTGAATGCAGAAGCTGCCCTCACACTCCCATGCCTCCTAGCGACTGCAACATTATCTCCTGGTCTCAAAAGCCTCCCTTCATCTCACAGTTCACTCCCAGGAAATGCAGTTAGGAGGGACAGTGCGGCTGTTGCTGCTGTTCACAATACAAGGGTTATTGGGAAGCTACGCCTATCTTTGAGAGTTGCACATAGAATTTCATTTGCACAAAGATACTGAGAAATCACAACTTCATTCACTGCCTACGCCGGTGATTTTCCCACATAAAACTGTCAGAGGCTCAATGGTGCTGGCCTCGGGCACAGGCCGAAGCCTTGCTCCCATCCCTCCGCAGCTGCATTTGCCTGTAGGGTCTCCACGGAGGAGGGCAGGTTAAATGAGTTCATAGGCTGGGCTGGGCCTCCAAGCGGACCGGGTCCTGAAGAAGGGGCAATGGGGACACAGGGACACACCAGGGGGCAGGCAGGGGAGCACACGAGGAGAAGAGGGCGAGCCCAGGAGCGACTCCGGAGGAACGAGCCCTGCGGCACCTGGACCTTGGACTTCCAGCCTCCAGGGCTGTGAGACAGTCACTCCTGTGGCTTAACATCTGTGCCACTTTGTGGTGCCACTTTCTGGTAATCACATGCAGAAAGCGGCATCGGGAATGAAGGCAACCAGCAGACAGGAGAAGCTCTCACCGTGACACCTGGCAAAGGGCGGCTGCGCCGTGCAACTGAACAAAGCCAGTGCACACCCCGCGTACAGCTTGTTGTTCCTTAAGGAGGTAATGCATATTTTCAAGTACAATGCCACTGGGAAGTTAACTGACCTGAACTTACGATACTGTGAAATGTCATTTTAGTGACTGCCTAGAAGAGCAAAGTTTCAGGTGCTGTTAATCCCACATCGAACCCCTCACTGCTGCCCATCTGTTTGCTTGTCTGAAATGCGAAGTGCTTTCTAGGGCTCTTCTGTGAAGCCGGCACCCTGTGCCAGGCACTGACACAGCCCACAGAGGGGAGGAGGGGCCCACGTACCCAAGACAGACAAAGACAGTTTTTATCCTGACACTGTCAACCAGGTTTGTGATGATAAAAGTCCTATCCTGCCAAAGTGCAGGGCCTCCACTCCTGAGCCCCAGAGAGTAATACACTCCTGGCTGATAAGGTTTAAAATCAATACATTCGAAATGCTTTCCAGTCCACTCATGGACCATAAAGGAGCCCGTGTCTCACCAACAAGAGACAGACATGACATTTGCTGCAGCAAAAATGCCATCACTTAAAAACATTATTCACATAAAACTCTGACCTTTCATTTTATAGAAAAATCTCTGAGAGCAGAACAACATTACTCATGCATCTTTGATAATTTTGACAGCGACTGTTACAATTATTGCCTTTACAATCTACTCTGCTGTTGTTGTGTGATCCATGGATGTTTTGAGAGATTGGATTGTAAGCAATGGGTGCATAACTTATTGACAAGAATTTCGCTCCTGAAATTAAGAGGCATAAAATCTTGTCAGCTCTATTCCATGCACACATTTAAACTAAGTATTTACACATATGTAATTATATATGGCATGCACAGGAAAGTACATGTACTCAGGCACAAACACACACATGGGCACACATGCACGGCCTGTAGTGGGCTGTTTCCTTTTGTGTATTTTTGCAACATTTAATAGGCCACAGGATTACAGTCATTTCACTTCCTTATCTACAGGACAAGTCCACTTCCTGCACTTGGCTAACCAGTTATTTTTCTTCATTTTAAAGACTGAGGGAAAAGCCCTCATGAGTGTATATCCATTCGGACATACATTCAGCACTTGTGCAAGCGAACGCATACTCTCTAGTCTTCCATTTCTACGCATAAAAACATGAGTTTGCTTGCCAATTTAGTAGCTAATTTTCAGAAATACATACACTGATTGATGTGGGTGTAGCCCTACAAGAACTTGACTATGACCCACCAAGTCAGTGAAACACAGACACAGACAGAATTAATCAGATGATGGTGACTCATCTGAACTCAGCAACAAATCTCTCAAAACACAAGAAAACGGTAATATTATGTTTAGCCTTAATTGTACCCTAGTCTGCATTGCTGGGTCAGATGAGGCTTCTATACAAAGACAAATATTAACATCAGTTCCATTTCAAATTGACAGTTCAGGGCCAGGGATTTAGCTCAGTGGCACCATGCCTGCCTCGCCAAGTGCAAGGTTCTGTGTTTGATCCCCAATACCAAAAAACAAAATAACAAATTGACAGTTCAACCATATACACTAAATTATAATGTCCATTCAAGTCATATAAAAATCAAAAGACCATCATTAAAACTAGTACTAGCATCTTTTTAAATGTATTTAGCTATTTTTAAAAAAATGTACATTAAAGATGCCTGAGTGCTTACCAACTACAAGTCTTTGGGAGTCATTATTTTCACACATTTCAAGTAAAATCACCATTAGAGTGATTAAAATACTTCTGGAGTTCTTACCTTTTCTAAAATACCTTGCGGATGAATACAATACTGTACTTTATAAAGGAAGGAAGAGCTGCTTGAGATCATCTGCTGAATCCCCATGTTAAAGAATTAAAGAGTGGTTAAAAATTCAATTCATGTGGAGAGTATGTCTTAAACATTCTGAGAATTTGCAACCTTAACAATAATGTGATGTTGTTCTAAGATCACTTGATCTCCAAGAATGCCTAAGTCCCACAGTAATTCAATTTTTGTTTTGTTTTGTATCCTGTGGAGAAGATGGGATTTAATTGGAAAATATATCCAACCCTTGTGTTACTAAACATTAGAATAATGTTTTTACTAATTAATAGTCTATAGGTCATTGCTATACAGAAACTGAAGAAACTTACCATCAAATACTTCCAGTGAATCAAATTGCTTTTCACTTTGAAAGGTGTCCACAAAGATGGTAATGTTAAAGCTTGGTTCCACTTTAATACTCCAAGAGCACGTCTGGGAGTTAAAATAGTTGCCTGGGTACCCTGGGCTGAGGATTACACCAGACGATTCTGTCCGGACTTCGTTGGCCGGGCACTGTGCTGGAGAGGAAGTCCAGGCAACGTTAGCGTCAGCAGAGCATACCCAACTTCCACAGCAGTTTCTATCCTTGCATGGGCAACCCCATGCAAAGAAATGGCCACCTCACTGAGCTGTGATCAAGTGTGATACAGGATGCAAACAACAGAGAACAATACTGAATAGGGATGGATAACTTGCACCTTTCTCCCAGCACTTGAATCCACTGAGCTGCAGTTCCTGCACTGTGTCCCACGCACCTTCATTCACTAAGGGCAGGTGGATTGTGGATTTCATCACAAAATCCTGGCTTTCCTCAATGCAATCACAAAGTAAGAACCTCTCCTCTTCCACACACTCATATGACAAGAATAAGGGGGAAAAGGGCCGAGGATTTAGCTCAGTGGCTTTGCCACCTGCTGCGCAAGTGCAAGGAACCGAGTCTGATCCCTGGTAACAAACAAACAAACAAAAGAATAAATGGAAATTTCACGAAAAGAGGAATCTCATTTCAGTCTTTAATGTACTCTGAATAGCACAGTTTATGATATGACTGCTTGGGAACAGAATGAATTGGATAGTTCTGGCTTCCATCTGCCTCAGACCACACATACTTGGAATCAGCAGCAGGAAGTGTGATTGTAGACATGAATTTATTGCATGTGGACCATGACAATGTTATGCATCTGTTCACACACCTTTCTCCTGCTTCCTTTTTTTTATTTTAAGTTACTTCCAGGTTAATTAAAATGAAAACAATCTGCATAGGTATGAATGTGCAAAAAAAGGCACTGAAAATGAGTACCTTAGTAGTTTCTGAATTGCTATATTGTGTTCCTAAAATATTCTGCTTATAGAGCTATTAAGGGAAAAGTCTTTTTATCATTGGGTAATGGCTCACAAATTGACAGATAAGCATTAAAACAATTTATAGTATTTAGGAAATCCAATAATCAGCTTTTTCATCAATAACAATGAGCTTGTGTGCAAAGGAATGCATCTTATTTATTGAGTTATTCCCTTTAATTAGGTAACTACTGTTGTTCTTACACATATTTTTCAAAAAGATGTTTTTCAAACAGATTACCAGAACTTACAGAATATAAATATGTGTTGATTAAGGAAATGTATATAACAAAAGGTTTTCTTTCTCCTATTTTCTTCCATTTGTCTTTGTATATGAGTTGAAATATACCTTAAAATTTAGAAAATTTTCAGATATGAAGCCACCAAGGATGAAACATATGATAGACTATTTTAAATAAATATGTATTTTAGGTCAGATTTTTAAAATATTTACAATGATAAGTTAATGGCAATAATATAATGAAACATAATTCTAACTAGAACTCACGGCCTGAAGCAGCTCAGGTGCAGTACGAATCCCTTCGGTGGCGGTGGGAGTGCTCTGTGTAAGGCCTTCAGCCCTTTCAGAGTGCCCTGCTAATGGGGGTGAGGAGCACAGCGCGAATGTCGAGTGGCACCCGTGCACCCCTGGGGACCCAGAGACATGGGTTTCCGAAGCTGCACGGACCTGCTCGTTCTTTGCCATGAATGACAGGCAGAGCTTGTACTGCCTCTGCTATGAGAGGAGGCCAAACAGTGACCCCTCGGGGTCATAACGAGATCCCCACATGTACAAGCATTTTCTACAACAGAAGGCTGATGGAGCAGAAGGTCTAGAGAGAGGAGACAGGCTGGGCACATGTCTCTCTTACCCCACATGAAGGCACTACTGAGTAGCCTTCATCCCGCAGTATTTCAGAAATTTACAGCCCTCTCCACCCCGTGTGCTTTTCACTGTGGCCATAGTGGTGGGTGACCCTGGGGCTTCAGACCATCTGGAAATGGTACATTTTCCACTGAGTTGCTGAAATCTACCTGAAAAGCAATCAGCACACCCCAGGGCTGGAAAGCAGTTCTGATTCTAGATCAGAAATGACTCACAAGCAGACACACAGAGCTAGGCTTATTTCTCTCATTCTTAAAATGTTCTCTTTGGTGCTTAGAGAATATATATAATAGATAGAGAGAGGGAGATCTATACATACATCTGCAAAATAATTTGTGTCATATTTTTAATGACACTTAGCCCACTTGTTTTCAAGTACCCAGGTTTTAAAAGTGCACTGGGATGGGGATGGTTCCTTCCATCTCCTTCCTGTGCCTTGACCTCTTGCACAGCCCTGCTCTTTACTGTTCCTCTCTTACAGGTTCCCAGGAGCAACACCACCGGAATGGGGTGATTTCTGGATGCCTTCTCTCCCAGCTGTGGGGAACACCCACCACCCACTTCCCAGCAGCAATTCCACATGTGAAGTACCCTGAACCTCCCCGGGTCCTTGGAAATGACCACAGGGACATCTGTGGGGCTCCACTCAGGCCACTTGGGAGAGGAGCTGGCCCGAGACATGCCCTTGTGCCTGCAGCCAGGGTCTCTAGGCACAGTCGCTCCTTTAGCTTATTTTTGAAGAAAAATCAAATTTGAGGCTTAAAAACATGGAACACGTTATTTAAGGAAACTTATAGCTCCTCAGCAAAAGTAATAAAGGATTAGGATTAGTAACACAGGCTGAGGGACAGAAATCTGAGTTTCTAGTCATTAAGATCGGTTCTTAGGAGCACCTGGAGGTTTGAGAGCAATGTGAAGGTGGAGGCTCCCTTGGAACAGGCGGGAGGCTCTGCTGCATGGGTGCCTGTGGTGCTGGCTGCTGTCACAGCTGGGGAAGGATGAGGCACCTCTGCTGCCTTCCAGAGGAGAGGCCATGGCTGGATGCCAGGGATGCTTTGCAGCGTGCACTGGAAATGTATGTTCCAGCTTTGTGTAAATGAACATTTTGAAAACTATTGTTAGATCCCATGGTGCCTAGGATGATGTCGCATGGCACAGTGTCCTTTTCAGTGCTGGCTCTACATTAGGTCTCCATCTAGGCGAGGGTGCTCTTCCCACAGACCTGCTAAGAGCAAGCCATGGGGAGCCACCTGCTCTCTCAGACGCCACATGTCCTTGTCTGATCCAAACCTTTGCTATGAACTCTCCTCCCCGCTGAAATCCTTCTCCTCCCTGAGCACCGGAAAGGCACAGTTACGGGCCCCTACGCTTGCCCTATCTACATCCAGGGATGCTTCACAAGCGGTAGTGCACATCTGCAGGTCCCAGAACCACACCCAAGACAGTGTCCTGAGCAGAGCTCGGAAGAGCATGCCCTGACATCCAAAGAAGCGGAAGAAGAGGGCCTGAGATTTTTCATCAGGAACTTCCTGGGGAATTGTCCACTTGAGTACACTCAGAACAATCAAATAATAGAAAGTACTTAAAATAGGATTATAATCAGAAAGTACTTAAGAAAAATTATAGTTAAGCCCTTAAGTGATTAAGGATTCAGTAAAAGACAGGTCTGGCTCCCATTTCCTGGTTGCTGTTGGTGGTGGTGGTGGAGGTGATGATACTGAAGATCGTGTCCAGGGCATCACACTGACTGGCATCCTTGGCCCCCTTTTTCAATTTTTCACTTTGAGACAGGGTCTGCTTAAGTCACTAAGTTGCTCAGGCTGGGCTTGAACTCGAGGTCTTGCCTCAATTACAGGTGTGCACCATGATGCCTGCTTTTCCTGTTTTTAAACGAGTTGTTCAAAGAGCAATGCCAGGACCCGTCTCAGTTCCTTCAAGTGAATGTTCCCCAGAAGTGAACGGGAAAGGCTGGGCCCCAGGCTGTGCGGAGCAAGGCTGAGCTGCCGAGATGGGCTCCGGCCTGAGCAGAGGGGGTCTGCAGAGGCTCCTGGGGAACTTAGAGACCCAGGCTCAAGTCGGGCTGGCTTTCTCTGTTTCTAGATAGGCATGCATCAGCCCAGGTTAATGGAACACTGAATAAAGCCAGGTTAGTGTGAAGAGGACAGCGGAAGAAAGGCGGTGTGCCTTTTCAGGATGGATCACTGAACACGCGAGTGTGTCTTAACAGGCTGGCTAAGGTCACCTTTGCTTAGAGTCCGGATTCTGAGAAACTACATCGTCTGTTTGTTGGAATTTAAATGTAACTTAAAATTGTGGAGATTTTCCTCTGTTCAGTTTTACATAAACTCTTGAGAAACAAATCCATAAGCAGTTCCTCCTGTTGTTGCTGCAGGGTATGGTTGGTGATTGGTCCCAAAGAAGTGTCTAATTACTTTTCTCATTGCTGAGACAAAATATTTGACACCCAAAGTTAAATGGGAAAGAATTTATTTGGCTCAATTTGTAGAAGTTTCAGTCCATAATTGTCTGGCTCCAAGGCAGGGTGGTATAGCAGAGGCGCATCGCAGAGGAGAAACAGCTGATGGCGTCCACAGGGCAACAAGAGGAACCAGGGAGCAAAGGAGGAGCCCTCAACAGTCTTTCTGCTCCTTTTATCTTCTGCAGACTACTTAGGGCGGGGAGCACTCACACCCTTAATCCTAATGGCCTTGAGCCTTGCATTGCACCAGGATTCATTGCAGAAAATGCCCCATTTGTGCTTTGGGGGACATCTAAACACAGCCATCACTCTCAGTCATTACTGATTCCACACTGCATGTTCCTTTCTAGGTCAGATGGTGGGAACCTTTTCCCTCTCCAAGGTGAAGGGATACAGATAGCGCTCAGAGCTTCAGACCCATCTCACCCAAGCCGTAGGCCCCTGCCAAATTGGGGCAACCTGAAGACTCTCATGATGAAGAAGACTGTCTCCGATGGGACAGACAACATCACAAAACACCTAACATGAAAATTCACTTATTATGCATGGGGTCTTCCTTCATAGTCCATACATGAGCTAAGTCCTCCTCCTGCTGCATGGTGAGCAGTGCTTAGTGACCTGCTGCAGTCTAGACCCCTCCCCTGGTTTCCTCTTTCTAAATTCCAGGCCTGCTGAGCTGCTTCCCTCCCTCTGGTGCGTGATTACATCCAGATTCCCATCAGGGAGAAACCCACTGCCAAGGACACTGTGTCTGGATCCAATGTGGAAAGCTTTATGTCAGTGAACTAATAACGTTTCTGACTTTCTTGGGCCATTTGAGTTTATTTATAGATGTGAAGCCTTTTTTCTTCCAATGGTATTTGATAGTGGTGCCCATTAAACTATGTTTTTAAATGATAATTGTATTCTAGTCCTCTGAAGCAATGCAGTCAGTCTCAAATCTTATTCTATTATTGCAGGTGGTCTAAGTCTTTGCACATGGTCTATTTATTTTAAAGGCATGTAAAAACAAACAAGAGTTACACACTGCTCATTGTTTATAAATTTTAAACCACAAATATTAAACTAGCTAGTTCTATTCTGGCTGGGTTACAGGTAAAGAATTTTGCGATGCACAAAGTTTGCCTTGAAATAAAAAATATAAGTCAGAGTAATGGGTGGGTAGGAAGGTAGCAGAGAAATGGGCTCGTGATCAGTGAAGTATTGTTAACACTCATTGGCAGTGCCTTGCAGGCAGGTACTCAACTGTTTATTTTAAAATTATTTGGACTCTGCCATGTGCTTGAACATTTTCCTGGAGAATTATTGGGGAAAACACAACTTCCTTCTGATGTGGCTTTATTTCTAAGGTTAGCTTAAAAAGCACCAGAAGCTCCTGTCAGCAGGTTATTTTCATTGCAACAGTCACCTCTCAGACAGGGATTGAACCGCGCCCACTCAGAATGGCTACACAATGGTATGAGACAGGTGCATACCTTCACAGGCCGGGGGAGAGCCTTCGAACTGCAGCTGGGAGCTAAGCTTGCAGGTCAGCGTGTCGCTCCCGGACAGGGTGTACCCCGGGTGGCACTGGTACTTCACAAAGTCGCCTGGAAGAGTCAAGTCAGCACAACAGGGTCACCATTCAGGAGCCTCCGAGTGTGAACACATCAAACATGTGGCTGCTGAGCAAGATGGTCAACGTGCAAACCACGCCAGAACCAACGTGTGCGCTCACTTCTGCTGTTTTTGGGAAGTGTTGCTTTCAGTTCCTCTTTCGTAAACATGTTACCTTACACTGAACCAATGTCCACACAGAAACGGTGCGGCTGTTTCTCCTTCTCTGACTGATACACCTGGGCATGTGTGACACCCGGCAGTGGACAGTGCAGGGCTTGGCGTGACCCTGGCCTAAGCTGCACCTGTCCCAGCCAACTGAGCCATCCTGAGCAGCCCAGAAATAGGCCATGGAGCCTGACCAGTGGCCTAAAACATGCCCCGACAACAGGACAGCGTTTTTAATTGGGACCGAGAAGTCTTGGGTCATAGTAATTATGTTGCAAACATGCCACAATGCTGTCTTCCTGTGACTCCATGACTCTTTAATGAGTTAGACACTGATGTGAGATGATAAAGCAGAATCTCTAAACATTAGCATTAAGTATATTAATACCAATTAGATTCCAGCTGCAATGAAAGGTCGGAGTTCTAGTCATCAGTCGTTAAGCTACAAATGATTCGGTTCCTCTCAAGTTCATGCAACATGCTTTGCTAATTAAATAGTCTCTGGAAACTGTTGAAAACCGAATGAGCCAGCACATGCCAAAGAGGAAAATACATCCCAAATGACAGGGGCGAAATGCAAATGGCAAAACAGAAGTCACGGAAACGAAGAAAGAACCTTTTCTTTTTGAATCGTGATCTCTGTACAAAACCCCAGCAGAGCAGTGCTGCAGGGATTTCTTTCCTACCCCACTGGCAAATGACTCCCTTAGTGGTCATGTGTAGTGAGTGCAGCGAGAGGTGGGAATGGACATTGGGCTCCAGGCACTGTGGCGGGGATGCCTTACCGATTTCGAAGTCTTCATCCTCGGTCAGCATGTCTGCGTGGGGGACCGCAGCGGGCGGCGGGCACTTCTTCAGCTGAAATGCTAATGTTTCACAGAAAACATGAGGATAATGGAGGTTACACTTTCCTAATGAGCAAAATAACACAAATGTATTCCTCTAAAAGTTTCGTTTCTTTTGTACACTGGAATATCTCCACGGGCAAATCATTGATTTATAAACTTCTCTTGCTCTCCTTGTTTTAGAAATCTCATGTAATGATTAAATGCCAAGCAATGTTTAAAGTCTAAGGAAAGAGGGCCGGGGATTTAGCTCAGTGGTTTCACTGCCTGCTGTGCAAGCGCAAGGACCTGAGTTCAATCCCCGGTACCAAAGGAAAAAAAAAATTAAAAATAAAAAATAAAGTCTAAGGAAAGAAAGTGTATGATTTAAAAAATGTAACATTGGGATTCACTGGCTCTGCACATGTTTGGAAATCAAAAGAATGGATCCAAACGTGGCACAGCTCCAAGCCTGCTCTGCAAAGATGCCCTCTGCTCTGTCCTAGGGGATTTCATGGGGCGCCCAGGAAGGACAAGGGCCCTTGGCTTTGCCATCCCTTTCAGAGCTCAGCACCCAGGTCACAGCAAGTCCTCTTTGTTCCGTGGACACTTTGTTAGACCTGGGGTGCGCAAACCTGTGAGAGCCTGCATGGCTCCACATCAGGGTCTCACTGACTGTAAATTAAGGCTTGGATGAGCTCAAGCTTGCTGTACAATGAAGACACGGCCTGGTACCATGTGAAAAACTAACCAAGACCTCCATAAACAAGGAAGGATCCTGGAAGCTCTGACCTCCCTGCACGACAAGGCTCCAGGCTCTTAGGGCAGCAGAGAGACCTGGGCTGGACACAGGGAAATTTCTTGTGGGGTTCTGGGTCTTACTCAACGCGGTGAAAATAAACTCACCGTGAAAATTGAGCACGAAGAAGCCGCCGTTTGAGAAGTCGCTGTGGAACTTGAGCAGGACCTGGTTGGTGGAGCTGTAGGCTGTCTCCAGCGCTGTGTTCCCGCTGAACACGCCCAGCTGGGGCGCACTCTGGTCCGGACCGTCCCTGGGAGACACAGAGCGCTGGATGGGGCGCACCAGGGCGCAGGCTCGGGGCCCTAGCCCAGGAGGTGGCCGCTGTCCCCTCCGCAGGGAGTCTCCCTCCTTCTGGTGGCTGCAGTGAGGTCTACTTAGCAGTAATGGGTCTGCAGACTTCTGCAGGTAATTTACAATAGTCAAAACAACAATGTCACCATGCTCTATACTGTGCTTAGAAACAGGACGTTCCATAGTCACACAGCTGATGGAGTGGGACAGTCTTTGTCTTGCCTGAGCATCCTGACTGTGCCTGTTTTACCTCAAGCCCCAGCACCGTCTAGAGAAGCAGTGATGGTGCCATGTGGTTGCCCTGGTCGGCTCAGTTTTGGGACAATTCTGAGTCCCCTCACCCTCAGGCCCCAGCACCTCCCGAGACGCATTCCACAGCTCTGAGTGCCAGTCTCCCCGCCTGCCTGCCCCAGTCTCCTGTCTGTCATCCTCAGCCTCCTCCTGCCCTGGGGCTCTGCCTTCCACAGCCTGACCATGTCCTTGATGGCCCGAGCTCCCCACAGTGGGTGTAGCCCTAGCTGTCTGTTCCTGCCGGAATGGCCACTCCTGCTGTCTCGGAGAGCTGCCTGGAGAGATCTGCCACACCACACACACCCCACAGACAGACACACAGACACGCAGCACACACAGGCAATAGCGCTCTCACACGTGTGTTACATGCACAGACACCCAAACACTCATACAGGCACATATGCTCCACATATCACACACTGTGCACACAGACAGAGCAATCCCATACAGGCACATGAACAGACGTACACTCTCATAGACACTACACACCACATACACACACACACACACACACACACACACACAAATCCTAATGCACCTGATACAGACACACACGAATATGCACACAGACCTCCTACACACACATACACATACACACACACACTTCTGCAGCTTCTTGCTCAGCACTGACAGTTATTCTGACAGCGCGCCCTGCCTGGTGCCCAGGTGCATGCCAGCCTCCTGTGGCAGTGTCACAGGACTCCTGTCCTTTCTTGTCATCCACTATAAACCCTCACCTCAGACCCAAAGGCAGAGGTGCTCACTCCCCAAGTCCAACTCATCCGAAGGCCAGAATGGCACCCTGACCCTGACTCTGACCTTGACCCTGGGCCCTGCCCCGCCTCAGTTTCCCCTGCACAGCTCATGGAGGGCCACTTTGGCAGAAACGATGGGGTGCACAGCAGGCCCTGCTTAACCATTTCTTCAGTGGTTCTAGAAGTATCCAATCATGGCAAAGAATCCCACCGCTTTAAAACGATCCCACTTAAAATGTAAACTGAAGCAATCTTGGAATATTCTCATCTACTAGAGGTACTCCTGATATTTGCACCATGAAGCAAAGCCCAGATGCATTCTGAGCAGTTTCCTCTCCACCTGCCTGGCCTTGGTGGCATGCTGCCTCCCCAGCACCTGCAGCTGGAGCGTCTGTAAATGCACGCCCCACACAGGGTGGCACTGCTTGCTGGCTCAGAGCAGTTCCTTCAGGGGGCGCGCTGTGTCCCAGGAGGACTCCTACCAGACAGCGATGTAGTCGTTCACAGCCTCCGTCTGCAGCAAGGTGAAGTTGATGTACACCCCGTGCCCTGGGGGAACGGTGATCAGCCAGAGGCAGTCTTTCAGGATGGGGTACTCATCGGGAAAGCCCGGGGAATAAATGGTACCATTCTGGGATGTCACGTTATACCCGCAAGGAGCTGCGAAGGAAGAAACGAAAAATAAACCCAATACCAATGCTTTTGGAAAGTAGGTAACTATTTCAAAGTCTCCAAATTCTCTTAGTCAAAATTGTTCCTGGTAAGAAATAATTATGAAATAGTTCTCAGTGACTACTTTGTCAAAGTTATTCCCATAAAGTCTGGAAACTTGAGAAGAATTATACTTCTAAGCTAAGTTATCTCAGTCCCACTTAATATATTCTCCAAATCTTCAAAATCCCCCTGTCCCTATGTGATTGAAAATCCTCACTTGGCCATCACCTGAGCCTGAGCTGATAATCCATCAGACGATCCCACACAATGGATTATGTGGAAATTATGCATAAACATGCAACTGAACATTTTCATTCTGATTCACATTTCTAAGCCTGTTTAAGATGGCCAGAAGAGTGGCATCTGAGCCTATTTGCTTTCAAACAAAGACATTATCAATGCTCTGCAAATCTATACCCCGAAGAAACAAGATAAAATTATGTCTGCAGCATTGTATTGAAGTATTTGCATATTTACTAGTGTTCAATTATATGAAGAATCATAGCATCCAGCCTATTTTTATTTTACTTAATAAATTGAGATTATATATATATATATATATATATATATAGTTTCCAAAAACTATGCTATTTACAGAAAAGCAATGTGACCATATTGCTGGAATAATCTGAAATGTGGTCTGGGGTTCAATAGAGGGCAGTGCACAGAGTTAGTAGACAGTAACCTTTGAGATCAAGCTGGGAGTGGTATGAGTGTCTACGCTAGCATGAATCTTTCCGGACTATCAAATTCTGGTACAGAGGTGGCCAAGATTCATAAAAACAGAACAGAAGAGTTTAATATTCATGCAGAAGAATGACTGACGATGCACGGAGGTGGAGGGTGACGGGGCCTGTGTGGGTCGCACAGGTGGGGAGCACAGTGCATCTGGCCACACCCTGGGTCCATCCATGAGAGGAAGGGTCGAGCAGAATGTCTCAGAGCTTCACAGTGGAATCAAAAGTGGGGTTTGGAGCCACACAGACCTGGATTTGTCCCCTGAGAAACCAGCGATCGCTCAGGCCCTCACTTGTGTTAAATTCAGCAAGGACAGGCCTGGAGCACCCTGAGACTTGTGATATGCAAAGGGGCTCAGGCCAGGCCGCCCTCAGGAGAGCATGTCCTGCTCTTCCAACCTCCTGCACTTGGGGGCTCCTCCCGCTCTCTCGGAACACCCCACCTTTCTCCAGCCTGCTGCAGTGGACTTGTCTTTTGCTGTGAGTTTTATTTTATGGGTGCATGTTTGCAGCACGTAATGACTGCAGTGCTCATGGTGAGCTGGTGCATCTACACGACACACCTTCACCCTTCTTCATTCCTTCTCACTTCCCTCCCTCTCCCTCCAATCTCTGGGTCGCTTTCCTCAGTGCAAATGATCTATTTCCTATTAGCTATATTTTATTTTGTCCTTTATTTATAATTGGAGTTTCTCATATAAAGAAAGCATGTGATATTTAGGCTTTTGTGTCTGATATATTTCACTTAATATTATAGTCCTGAGGTGCATCTATTTTCTTACAGATGGCTCAAGTTTATCATTCGGTACACCTGAGAATTACTCTTGTGTGTAAACACCATATTTTCTTTATCCACTCATCTGCTGATGGACACATAGCTGTTCCCAAGATTTAGCTATGCTGACTTGAGCTGCTGTAACATGGTGTACATGGATCCCTGTGATACAGTGGACTTGTCTTTTCCCTCCAAATTCAGCTCTAAAGGCAATAGGTGCTTGGAGTCCTTCCACACTCCAGGGGTCCCCATTTGCTCACTGATGGCCTGGCTCCACTCAGCCCCCACCTGCTCCTCCACAGCCAACTGGGGGCTCCTGGGTGACAAGGATAGGGCTCACCAACCCCCTTCATGGACCCAGGTCTGCTCAGGAGACCACACACTGGACAGTTATTAACTGAGAGGCGGATGGGCCAGTGAGAGAAGAGTAGGAAGCACTTGGATACTGAACACGTCCCAACAAGGAGACGTCCCAATTCCCTGCAACTTGGTGTTATTCAGTGTTGATGTGAAAAGCTAAGAATTCTCTTGAACAGTTGTGCTTTGCAAGTTGCCTCTTATAATTGCGTGATCACATTAGATGGAGGCCCTTTCCAGTCCCTTCCCACTGGGACAGTAAACCTAAGCAAAAATAAACAAACAAACAAACACCATGGATTTCTTTCTCCTAAAAGGTAAAGGGGCTGACATGGCAATTTTCTTGGTATGACATATCCTCAGCTTCTAATGCTGATGCCATTTAATAACTCTGACATTGACCCAGGCAGTGATCCTTAAATATTTAACTAACAAATCCCTTATTCTCTTATTCAGCATGTACTTACTGAGAGTCTATTGAGAAATGTGCTTAGCAATAGTATACAACTGTGAACCCAGAGCCCCATGACTGCCCGAGTAGGACTTCCTCAATGGCGATAGAGAGAGGAACTCATCAAGTACTGACTCATTGTGAAATTAAATTGATAGATATGCAATGAAGGTGGAGCAGAGGCTCCTTGTTGCTGTACTCTCACAGGACAGCAATATTGTGCAATGTACTTACTGAACTTTCTCAAGGGGAAGATTCTATTCCCTTCCTGCTAACTAGTCTTGAGATGGAAAGAAGAGGATCTTAAAAGAATGATGTAAACTTCCTCTCTTGTTTCCCCAGCCTGCCCTATGCTGGCAGCAGAGGCATGTTTGGCTGCCTTCCCTCCTCTGGGTAGCATCCCTCACAGAGGTCCTTGCCCTCACCTGCAGTGCTATGAAACCTGCAGTGAGATCAGAGCAGCTCCCAGGACCAGGACAGGAGCCTCCTACCTGTCAGCCTGGGTGGAGGACAGGCAGGTGCCAGAAGAACATCTGTGAGTCAGCATCACCAGCAGGAGTGACAGGGTGGCCCGCGCATGCTCCTTCACATATTCATTCACAGGTGTGCTCAGCATGGAGAGCGAGGGTGGCAGGGGACTTTTGTGCAGAGCACAGACAATGGGACACATCCTCCAATGATTTCAGCACGCATTTTTCCATGGAAAAACAGCAGAAGGAAATGCGGAAGCCACCTGCCTTGACTAGATCCTAGAGCCAGCCCTGGCCGTGTCCAGAGGTGTGGAGGCAATGCCACCCAGGGCGGAAATGCCGGGTGCCTGGGTGGCACCATGCTGAGCTCTGAGTTCACATCACTGTGGAGGCGATGCTCTGACTGTGTCTTGGCCAGGTTGGACAGAGCTGGAAAGTTCCAGAAGACCAACTGGTGAGCCTGGTGGTCCTCTGCTCAGGGCTGCAGGGACCTGAGCCCTCGTGCCTTTTACCCAGAAGCTGGACGGCCCATGGGCTCTGGCCATCTCTACATGGTGCTACCTTTTTCTCCATAAAACACATGCATTGCAAACCAGCAATCAAAATCAGAACAATTAAAATTTAAAACCCCAGATAGCCACTAAGAGAGTTACGGATAACTTACAGGTGGTTTTCTCTAGGATCTCATTAAGGTTTCCACCTAAACTTTAAGAGTATGAGGAAGAGAAAAACGAATGGTACTGGAAAACCAAGAGCGCCATTTGGCCCGGATATGTATGCAGGTTAAATCGCAGTGCTCAGTGTCTGTGGAGCTGCTACCAAAGCACTGCAGCACACTGGTCAACTAACAGTCACCTTGTCTGCATACAGAGCCGTGCATTCTGAAGAGAAGTCTATCCCAACAGTGATTCAATTCATTTCAAAAAAACTTGAAACGTAGAACAACATAAACAGCTCCATGTAAAATAATTTATTAGGTCAATATAAATATAGAGGCAAATTTAATTATCAAGTTATAGAATAAATTTATAAGCCAGAGCCTTTCAAAGTAAATTTTGATGATAACCCTGAACTAAGATTTCTGTATAATTATGGTACTGGGAGAAAAGAAATGTGGTGAATTTCTCACTACTTTGAGATCTATTTTTTTCATTTCCATGTATTTATCTTAATAGATATGGTATCTTTAGATCACAGTTTTATTCAAGTAAGTTTACAGTACAGTAATCTTACATAGTAGAGTTATTCAACTGAACATACAAATACTTTAGCTTAATACAAATTGATTTAATATATTCTTATAAAGATGGATGGCTTATGATTTAGAATTCTGTAATATTAATCATGTGAACTTCCCAACTTTTAATGATGATATCCTGGACCTATGCTTTTTTCTTTAGCTAGTTTTTTGGGGTCCACAGGGCTGGATGCTTGAAGATGCCTCTCCAAGGTCCGCCCAGGCAGCAGCTGTGATTGGCCAGGGTGACCAACACTGTGGGTCAACGCGGGACTCAGGGTTGGGCTGCTGCCCCGGCCTTGGTGGGCTTTGTCCCACGCCCAACACTGTTAGGAAACAAGGGTGCTTTTAAGTTTTACATTTTTAGGTTTTAGGTTTTTAAAAAATTTTTAAATCAAATCTACTATGGAGAGGATATTAAACACACATTGTTTCTGAGAATATGCTGTATATATTTCTTCGAATTTCTTTCAATATTTATATTATACTATAATTTTACAGGAAATTTGTTTTAGTATTTTAAAAATTCTGTCCCTGACCCTGTTGATAGAAAGAGAAGATACAAGGCAAAATATCGCTGTTTCCTGAAGGATTTGGTCGAAGAGATGCCTGAGCCTGCCCTGGTGCTCAGCACCCTTGGGTCTCGTGGGGCTGGGGCAGCCCTGTCACCAGCAGGGTTCTGCTGGTGCCAGAAAGAGCACCTGTGGGCTGGGGCGGGGCTCTGGGTCACCAGGAACAGCAGCTGAGGTGTCAGGTGGGCTGCGTTATGGAGCTGGACAGAAGCCCGGGCACCGAGGTCCAGGTGCGAGTCCAGCTGGGCAGCACTCCGAGGGCTTCTGTCCAGGAAGCTTCGGGGGGCCTGGGCGCCCCCACTCTGCCTGACACCCTCCCCGTGGATGCTTTCCGCCAACTGCACACCCAGAGAGGGGCAGTGTGAGCCTGGGCGGGGCTGACCCCAGGCTGGCCCTGGGTGTGGGCTGCACCTCGCAGAAGGCTCACTGGTGGGCATGGGAAACGTGGTCTGGCGCTTACCTCTGTCAGCACCGTGTGTTCCGTCATCTTCACACTAACAAGTGATTGTGAGCCTGAACAGTTATTTGAAAGGTACTAAATCAAATGAAACACTTAATTCTCGATCTTTAATATCAAGCCAAGGAATCGACCATTTACATGTGAATTCAAGGGATTCAGGCTAAAGTTGCAAACAAGAAAAGGACTCAATGCTCATAATTTTCAAAGCAATTTACATATATAAATATGAAGATTTATTTTTCTCTTTTGTTGGCTTTAGGGGTTGAACCCAGAGCCTCAAACCTGCTAAGTACTTGCTCTACCACTGAGACCTGGACCTTAAATGTGAGTTTTCAAGTGGAGAGGGATATGAAAGACAATTTTTAAGGTACTAATGGAAAATATATATATATATATATATATATATATATATGCTATATTACTTAGTGTTATAAAATTATTTTAATCCAATTTCATATGAAGTTAAACAAGTATTAGACCTAGTTAAGGAAATTTAAAAATACAGCTTTTTTCTTCTCAATGTTGTTCTTATAATGATCTACAATGGAGTGAGAATGTGATTTTTAAAAGTCCCCTGACATGCTGGTTTTGCATCTTGAGGAGAAATTCAAACACACTCTGTCTTTCCTTTTCCCCATGGAATAAGAGTGCTTAGCATTTCAAAGGTCTATGGAGTTGGTGATTTCATTATTTTTGCATTCAAAGGCACTGTAATACAGGGCTACTGGGTTCAGGGTGGGTTTTCAATCATGTAGGCCTTCCTTATCAACGCAGTTCCTTGTCAATTTGTCTCACTGGGTACTATGAAAGTTCTCAAGTCATCATAAAAATCAGGAGGCCACACAAAGCTTTCAAACCGCAATTTCAGCTCAGAGGAGGCCCCCAGGAGTCCACCCTGGCTCTTGCTGGCCATGCTGCCCCTAGCCGCCCAGGTCCCCAGTGCCACATGCATCTCCCAAGACTCCCTGCTCTGCGCCTCTGCCCATTCTCTCTGCTGCACCAGCAGGGCCTGCTGGCTTTAAGTAGCAAAATACTAGGTGTCCTTCCAGGCCACAACCAGAAAAACTCTGTTTCTGAAACACAACCTGGATATCCGATTATTACAAAAGTTAAACAAGAACAAATTCCTAGAATAAAATCAATAAGCTCTGCCTTCTCCTCTGACCTCACACCCTGATTCAACCACTGTAGCGCCCACTGCTGCAGCCCTCCCCTCTCCCATTCACCACCCAGGCTCCTGGTGTCGGGGTTGCATTGTAGTTATGCATGCTTATTATTCTGTTACTCCTGACTGATTTCCTAGAGAGCAAGAGCCCTCTACTTTCTTAACCTTTTGGTATTGGATATATTCCTGAAACCCTAAGTGGAGTGAGGATAACAACAGAGACGATTCATAAATATTTGTTGAATAAATCAACGAATTGGTGGATATGATCATTTACTATTTCATATACTGTTACATCCACAAGGAATTCATTGTCCCCAGGAAGAATGAGGAACCTACCATCGCACCGTGGGAAGGGGTGGTTCCAGTTTCTGTTGGTGCCGTGCTGACAGGTAAGCACAGGGTGGCCTATTAGGATGTACCCTGGGTAACACTCGAATGAGATGGACTGGCCCACGCTGTAGTCGGAGTTGATCATATACCCGTTCTGGAAGGGGGGTGGGTCCGGGCAGTTCTGCAACTCATAGGCTGAAATGACAAAGGACAGCTTCAAGGTCATCCATGAGAGTCTGGAATTCAGAGGAGGAATGTGATTACACGCAGCTTCTAAAAATTGACTTTTTGCATACAGGCAGTAAAATTTGTCTTATCCAAGTAGTCAGGTGCCATTCTGAAAAAGGAAAGTAATAATAATTATTATTACAGTTATAACCACATACATCTTGTGAGTACGTATTGCGTGCTTCAGAAAAAAATACAGCATATAACAAAAATAAATTTGACAATATTTGTCTTTGAAAGAAAATATATTACAGAATTTAATGAAAAACAATCTAAGTAAAGCAGGGTGTGGTGGTGCCTGCTGGTAATCCCAGCACTCTGGGAGGCTAAGGCAGGAGGATTAGGAATTCAAGCCTGGTTTGGGCAGTTTAGTGATTTAGAAAGACCCTGTCACAGAATAAAAGATACAAAGGGCTGGAGATGTGGCTCAGTTCGAAGGTGCTAGGCCCAATACTCAGGAACACACTGGTCAGGCTTGTATCCAGAGGTCCCACGAAGGCTCATGCAGTCATACATGGGGCTTTTCAGAGGTGGCTGGATCTAGAGTGTGTGATGCTGGGATCAAGGATTTGATGCCAGGATTAAGAGTGTGAGGGTTACCTCCCTAAGGGTGGGTAGCCTGGATAAGAGACAGGGGACAGACAGAGGGTCAGGACTTGCCTCCGGTTGCTTACTGCTTGCTGCTTGCTGTCTGCCTTGCTTTGCCATGGACTATTTCTCCTCTGCCAGGCCCCTCTGCCTTAGAACCAGACGACTATGGGCTGAAACCTCTACAAACTATGAGCCAAGTAAACCTTTCCTCCTTTAACTTTAGGTATTGGGTATTTTGTCTCAGCAACAAGAAAAGTGACTAAGACACACACACACACACACACACACACACACACAATAAGACAATGAATAATAGAAGGGCCTGGAAGGAATGCCAAGTGGGCATGGACAGTGCCCACCTTTCAACTGCAAGAGGAAAAGAGGAAACACCCTACCACTGTGATCTGGTGCTTCTAATTAGGAAACATGTGCCACAGTTGTGTTGCTTCGTTTAACTTATTAACTCAATATAATTGAAATAGAAAAATCCATTCAAGTTTAGTATTTCTGAAAATAAAAATGGAACTGTGGAATCAGGAAGCTACCACTTGCTCTTGGCCCAGTGCATATCTTACACACAGTTTGTGATGGGCTGTCATGAAAATATTTGTGCTCTTTGGCATAAACTCCGGGAGGATGACAGAGAATACACGCTGCTTGTAGTCTGTGGGGTTATAAATCTTTTCTGCACTCTGCAAAGTTATCTAACCTGCCTGTGAGGGCAACTGGTGGTGTTACCTTCCCAAAGCTAAATGGCCCGGGCGTTACCCCTCAGCCTCTTGGGGACACCTGTGCAGACTGATGGGACCACACACAGGAAGAGCATCCCCGTGCGCATCCCTGTCCCCATCCTGGTAGGACCCACGATGGGCCTCAGCACTGCTCCCAGTGATCAGGTGATCAAGAAACAGTCTTGGAAGAGGTGGTGAGGTGGATGAAGGGCCTGCTGGGGAGGCCACTCCTGCCTGCAGCAACCGGAAGTGGGATTTCAAGGTTGAATGTGAGCCCTTAGCCACTTGCCCCAAACTTTAGACTTTCTCTCTTTGTACTGGAGACAAGGAGGACAGGAAAGGCAGGAGGGTGGCACAGGGAAGCACTGTGCCCAGAGGTCGGGAGTAGGATGGGGTGGAGGAGACCCAGGGGGTGGTCATGAACAGCCCCAGCTCTCTGGAACGAGCAGGAAGACTCCCGAAAGATGTAAGGGGACTGCTTAGAAAGAGGCGAGCCAGGGTGCCTTTCTCAGGATCCATGCACTTCCTGTGGAGTTGGAGTTCGTCTCCCGAACATAGGCTGAACACGAAGCATCCTAGAGGGATGAAGCTTCGCTGTTATTCATGGAAAATGGCACACTTTCTCTGTCAAATGCCACTGTGTGGGGATGGGAGTCACCTGGAGGGCTCAGTTACAACCACAGACTTGGCCAAAACCCTTCAGAGAAGCAGCCGGAGTAGTACCCGCGAGAGTCGGTCTCGGCACAAGTAGAGGCATCTGCAGAAACCTCCACTGTGAGAGTAACTCCAGAGAAGAGAAATGCTGTGTGTTTAAATGTGTTCACTACATTATCTATGTTCTTTTAATTTCTAAATGAATAGACACTTCTCGGAAGTACAAATGGCCAATAAATACACGAAAAAATGTTCAACATCACTGGCCATTAGAGAAGTGCAAATTAAAACAACACTGAGATTCCACCTTATTCCAGAAAGAATGCCTATCTTCAAGAAATCAAATAACAACAGATGCTGGTGAGGCTGCACAGAAAAGGAACCCTTCCATGCTAATGTGTACAACCACGGTGGAGATCAGTATGGAGATTCCTCAAAAGCTAAAACTAGAAATTGCATTCGACCTAGCCTTTCCCCTTCTAGGAATCTTTGGGAAGTATTTGTGCTGCAGTAACCCAAATGTCTAAGCAAAGGCATACGATCTCTCAGCTCAGACACACAGAAGAGCTAAGGTTTAATGTCCTTCAATAGCCACAGACCACACACACACGTGCACGCACACACACTTCTCAGATACAGTGGTGCCTCAGGTCACAAACTTGATTCTTTCCAGGATTCTGCTGGCAAACCAAGTTGGACAAGCACCATTCAATTGTTAGGTTCAGCGTTGACCTTATGGGGAAATTCGATTTGGTTTCCGTCCAGCCTGGTTTGCATCATGGAGAAGTGAGTTTGTGGCCAAGAGAGGACTGTACCTGTCCATGCCTGTGGGGATGTTTATGCATTCACATTTTCAACATCATGCAGCACCGTGCAGTGCAGCTGCCAACCGGACGCACTACCCAGACCCGACTGTCACTGACATGTTAGACGATCCGAAGCTTACTCTTCTGCCTCCCTTGGTATTCCTCATCATTACCCATGCCATCAACTCAGCGTCTTGGAGGATGGCACATCGGACACTGGAGAGCTCCGGGAGGAGGAAGGGGAAGCGGAAGTCACCCCAGGGAGGGGGATCTGCCAATCTGGCAACACCCCAGCCTCGGCTACTTGGGGACCACAGCGGGAGGATGCTGGCTTCGGACAGAGTCACCAGAATGGTGCAGAGAGTGCAGCTCTCCCTGAGCACAGTGACGGTGCGGCCAGAGGCCAGACTGCACCCCAGCCCTGGGACAGCCACCTGCAGCAGGCCCCATGTCCCCTCTGTATCTGCCCTCTCAATACCCAGGGTGCTACTCTCAACAAGGCCAGGGAAAATTCAGCAGGTTCCTGGGCTCCGAGGGCAGGAACGGCGTGTCATGTGGGCTCCGGAAGTGGGTAAGGCTCTCCATACAAGATGTACTGATGACACAGAACAAGGAAGGCTGTTCAGGTGCATGTTCTCATGAGCTCCACGCTCTTCTGATGTGCAGCCTTTCGAGCCCGGTATGGTGACCCAGACTCTATTTACGGAAAATCAAAGACGTTTTGCCAATTAAAGGATGAATGTTCTTATCCTATAAATGTATATAATGATGATATGTGATTTTACAGTAGCATTAATAATCATCAAGTATGCTGGCACATGCCCGTAACCCCAGCACTCTAGGAGGCTGAGGCAGGAAGGACTCATAGTGGAGCCCAGCCCAGGCAACTTAGCAACTTAGAGAGACTCTGTCTCAAAAACAATGTTTAAAGGCTGTTGATGTGCCTCGGTGTAAAGGTCCTATGTTCAATCCCAGGTAGGACAAAAACATTATTAATAAAAATATTTAATTATAGACTAAGAGTGCTCTAGTACTGCTTTTTGGTAAAGCTGGATTATAGCAAGGCATTACTGAGATGATTAGAAAGAGACTGTAAAAGGGTTTATTGCAGATCAATAGGCATTGCAAGTACGATTGTTACTAGTGGAATTCAGAGCGCAAAGGATCATTTGCAAAAGGAAATGTCTCTCCAACCCACAATTTCATGAAATGGAATTTGCGAATCTATCATAATTGATAGGTTTGATATATAAAAGTATTTTCCAGGTGTCTTTGCATCTTATAGAATATTTGGCATATCAAAAAATTGCATCTCGTACTTCAAGGCAAAAGTTTTGTATGTGTCCAATACAAAAGGGTATTCAAACCCCCACGGAACAAGGAAGGCTGCCACCTCGGACTGTGGGGACCAGGGTGGGTCCCTCAGGGTTGACGGCTTCATGTCAGTGTTGCCACATTACACTTGGGAAACTGGATGCTCAGAAACCTATGCTAGCAAGTGCAGGAGTGGTCATGCCACATCTCATTGCTGCCTCCCCTTCTCTCTGCACACTCGCACACCTGTGCACACCTGTGCATGCACGTGTGAACACAGGCACACTGCTATCACCATTCCCCCCCGCACTGCTCCCTGAGCCAACATCACAGAACACAGAGCGAGCGGGGCCACCTCGGCCCTCTGGCCAGGCTGGAGGCCACAGGAACAGACTTTCCTGAACCCAGCGGCAGGCATCCTAGGAGAGGCGCAAGGTGCAGGGCGTCTCCTGCCCCAGTTGCTATCTGAGTCTGCAACTGCTCTGCAGACCCCACTCCCTGGGAAGAGAAGCCCGTGCTGTGATCAGGGCAGAGTCCCTTCCTTACTATGCTGCCTTGGGATGAATCAGCAATTGGCTCTCGCTCTTGTTCTGCTGTAACATAACATCTGATGGAAAAACGAGTCCTCTAATACACCAGCTATGGCTGCTAATAAAACCTTTAAGGACAAAAATGAAATAAACCCTAAGCCTAAGCTTAAATCAAAAGCTAACTGTCAATTCCCAAAGGAGAGCAATCAAGTAAAACTATTCGGTACACCCTAATCTTCATGGGAAGTTTTCATTCATGATCCAGCAGCGCCATGGAGCACTGTATGAGCATCAACTGCCACAGTGCACACTAAACAAGGGCATGGTTCACTGGGCTTCCT